TCGTAATGATTCTCATGTCGGCAAGGTCTTGCTGCGTAGGATTCCAGAATCTGGGAAGGACAGTAGTGTCCTGAGGCAACTGGTGATAGTCGATGAAGTCACGGGTAAGCAGGAAGGTCTGCCCGGACAACTCAAGGATTTGCTGCCTTGCCGCAAGTGGCGCCTTGACAATGCATTGGATCTGCTGTTCACCCTTGGGTGCACCTGGGTGCTTGTTGGTGCGCAGGCCATAATAAGTGAGATTGGCCGCGTGGCTGGGCACAAGCTGGTGCATGTGTTGGCGGAGGGTATTCAGTGGTTGCTCTGCGGTTTTGTCAAAATCCTGCTTGCTCATGAGGCGGGAGTCTGCCTCAAGGACAATCTCAGCAATTGCTGCAGTTGTCATCTTCAGCTTGGGTGCCGCGAGCTGGTAGGTGATTTTCCCTGCCGCAACACGCAGCATGGCCAGGCGCTTGTATGTTGTCTTGGACAGAGGATCATCAAGTGTGATCTCATGTGGTCCTGTGAACTCTTGGAAGAGCCCTGGCGGCTTTGTGCCGTCGACCGTGGGTATGATGATGGCGAGGTCAAGAGTTCCAGCTGCCTTGATGAGGTCACCAACATGGGTTTTTGTAGCTAGCACAACACCAGCCCGAGACTGTGAGACTTGAAGTCGGTGCACCTGCTGGAGCGGTTTACCATCCCCTCCCACAAAGGGAATTGGTTCCTGGAGTGACAAATCTTCCCACTTTGATTGTGTGGGTTTGGCAGATTTGTGAAGCCACGGGTCATTGATGGTGAGAATGTCGACCTTTCCAGTGGGTGGAGTGGCTTTGCTCTTGGCGTGTGCTGATGCTGTACCGGCCGTGTCCATGGGAACCGGATCTTGTGTACCTGCTGCAATGTAGGTGTCAGGGAAGTGGTTCCTGGTAACTCTGAGAAGGAACCAGTGCCGTGCGTGCAGTGCAAAGTCCCTGAGGACCGGGTGAGCACCAGCTGCGTGCCACCGGGCAACAACCGTCTGTGTGATATGCAGAATGGGCGCAGAGTGTGGTCCAGTTCGCAGCTCCAGGTGCTGTGCGACGCTGAGTGTTGGCAGGTCGATGCCCAGTCTCATATAGAGAGCATGGATGAGTTGCTGCCCACACATGCCAGGTGGGTGATGTTGCTGGATCGCATGAACTGTGAAATTGCCCTGGTTGTAGCCAAGTTCAGCTCTCAGTTGCTGGGCGAGCGGGCTTAAGCGCTCATTGGATGCCTGAGGAGCCGTGAGGTAGAAGAACGCTTGATGGCCACTTTTGTAGCATTCCGCTTGGATCCAGTGGTTGCTGTCTTCGATGAGCCAAATGATGTGCCCATAAGGGTCATAGACCGGGTTGGGAGCATCAAGAAAGACCAGTGTATCCATGGAGCTGTCCCATGTCGCTGGTGGGCAGAAGAGAACTTCTGGCAAGAGTGACCGAGGGCCTTCAAGGATGAAGTCTATCTCATCAGAATGCATCCACACTGGGTTGAGGTGGATATGGAGCAGTCTGGTGTTGACACGGTGCTGGATCTGATCGCCGGAGGCTATCTGCGGGTGCACCACGTGTTGTGGTGGTCTGTAGCCAATGGGATGGCTGGTTTCCAGTGGTCTTTGGTTGGCAATCCTCCCATTGTTGGTGGTTCTGCGCAAAACGGACATAAAGAAGCTCCTTCTGACCCGGAAAGCCAGCTGGGCAACAGAGCTGGTGGTGCCGGTGGTTCCCCAATCTTCAACGGCAGCTTGAAGGACAATGTCAATGACATCCCTCTGGTCAGCTGTCATGGGATTGTGTGTTGGTGCTGCTGCAAGGGTGTCGTGCTGGTCCTGGTGATGGGCCCAACGGTGTAGGAGTTCCCAGCCGCACATGTGTTGTGTCCACTGTGTGTCATGGTGCAGTATCTGCATTCTGCGCGGTCCAATGTCGAGTGCTCTGGCAACGATCATGATGATCCTTGCGTGTAAATGTGGCGGCACTTGAACGGTGACAACCTGGGTGTGTTGGTCATCCTTGGTGATCTCAATGCCACACCAGTGATCTCCAGCCAAAATGGGGATATACGTTGCTCCTGCAGGTTGGATGGTCAACGGCCCAAAGGGACTTTCGTCAAAATCAGACTGTGTGGTGTCCCAATATGCTGGTGGGGAAAAGTGGGGGCTGCCTGGTGTAGCCCACTGCAAGAGTTGCGTTGCAAAGACCATTTCATCAGCTGCCATCCATCCGTGCGTGTTGGTGGCGAACTCCGCCCTCTGGTTGAAGGTGGCATCTGCCGGGAGTGATGGTGCTCTGCCATCAGCAAGGTGATGTCCACCTGCTTTGATCGTGGGCATAGGCTGTGTGTGAAGCAGGAAACCATGTTGCAGCTTGGACTGGTTTGGAAAGTTGGGAATCCCTTCAACTCGGAAAATGCTTTGGACAGTACCATCAAGGAGGAAGGTGTGTGTGGCATCTGCTGGAAGTTCCAGCTTGCAAGCCCAAAGTGAGGCACTTCCCTTTGGCTGAATGAAGACTGTAGCATGACTACTTGCTCGATGAGTTGACACCGGAGTCAGTGAGAGCAAGAGGACATCTTGTGGGTAGCCAGCTTGACCACAATAGTCAGTAGAGACAGTGGAGAGGCTTTGGATAGCCGCACAGAGCAAAGCACGTTGCTGAGGCAACACCGAACAGGCAAAAGTGACCCCAAGATCGGGGATAGTGAGCAAAAAATTCCACATTTGCCCACCCTCGACATCAAACCCTTGCTCAATGATTTGCCAGATGCCAAGATCAACGAGAGTCTCCATGGTGGAGTCGAAATCGGCCTGTGCAACAACTGAGGTCTTGGCGGTCTGATCGGCGGCCTGTGGCTCCCATTCAAGGGTCGGAGGAAACGGATCGGAAAGTTCCCCACCAGCAATTTCAATCTCACCGACAGGAGTGCCTTGAATGGTTAAAGTCCAAACAGTCTGAATGGAAAAGACCTCGGCAACAGTACATGATAAGTCCATTGTCTGTGAGGCCCCAACCAACATGAAAGCGTGGATGACGTCTCGAGGCCCTGCCAAAGCGGTGCAAAAGACCTGACCTAGAGATTGTGACCCCTGCGCAGTGACTTCAAGAGGAGGGTGATCACCAAGGAACTTGAGCTCAATTTGAAAAGGTCCTTGTGGAGGCCCATGAATCTTCTGCAACAGAGAGGGTGCTGCTGTGATCCTGATCACATGGACGAAACTGCCAACTTGGCACACAATGGCATTGGTCGCAGACAGACGGTCATGCCAACACTTCTGCACGAGTTCATGGATGGATAAACCTTCTGGCAGGACGGCAAGAAATCCAAGGATCACCGGAAGCAGTGCATGGGGTGTGGCTATTGCATTGCCGAGGTACTTGAAAGCTTCATGCACCTTAGTGGGCAGAATACGATCTTCGGTGGCTCCCAACAGAGAAACGAATCTCGCAGGATCAAAGAAAGCGATCCCTTCAGGGAGCAGCTGCAAAAAGGCAAAAACTCCCTTGGCTTCAACATGACGACGATCTAAGAGGTGCTGAGTAGTGTATGATGCGCATAGTGTCGGCAGGGGCTCAGATTCCTTGGGGTACCGAGCCCACAGCACCTGATCACATGTTGGGGTGCTTTGGCCAAAAGCATGCTTCTTTGCACTCGGAAGGAACTGTGGATCGCCATAAAATTCCTTTTCAGAGTCTGAGAGAAGGAGCTGCTCCTTCCACACCTGTGGGATGTGAAAATCAAATTCCATGTCATGCCACCGTTGCCTCGGCATAGTGCTTGGCGTAATCTTTGCATCATAAAACCGGGCACTCACGTCAGCTCTCACCCAAGTCGCAAGCCAGCGGGTTCTCATCTGAGGTGAGAGATGATTCAATGGCGTCACCTGAGACCAGATCAATTTGAATCCAAGGTGCTTGGCAATGTGCATGATCATCTCATAGTGTTCATGGCTCACGATTTCATCTGCACATTCAGCAGTCAAAATGATGACCTGAAGTTTAAAGGCGAGAATGAGGCCGCTCACAAATGCCCAACCATTGTCACAAGACAACCCCAGGCGCTTGCCTCCCTTGGACCAAGGTTGGCACGGAGGGCTCATGGTACCCATGGAATTAACTTGGGCTTGACAAAGCGCAACAATGGTTGGGTCCCCAACAGCCGCATGGATGCCAACATGGGTCGATGCAATCCAGTCCTGGTCGAAGGGCAGCGGGGCCTTAACCGCCTTCATTCCATGCAGTTGTTCCCAAATCTCAATCACTCCTTCATCAGCATCAATGGAAGTGTGCTGCCCAAACAAAACAGGGGTGTTCTGCTCAGAAAGCCACTTAGTAGCCATTTCCCAACCACCAAAAGCCCCAGCAAACAAATGGTAGGCGGACCAAGCCATTTCAACCTGCAGTTCGGGTCTGGGTGTGATCCCCACTTGATGGCCTGATGCACGAAACTCGTGGTCAGAAACTTGCACCATCTTGCCAGAGCAAACCACCATTGCCCCAATGCACAAAGCAACCGACCGAGAAGCGAGGTCCGGAATAGAGATCTTGCAGTGCCTACAATCACTCGAGTCCAGAACAAAGCCACGGCCAGGAACAAATGGTGCCACCATCAAATGAAGCTCATGAGGCCCAAACTCACAGACCTCGCCAGCAATCACCATCGAGCCTTCCACCACTGGGCAGTACGAAGTGGTCGCAACTGCATGCAGAAGAGCTCTCAGCGAGCCAGCAAAGGGTTCCTTTATACCCTCAGGAAACGGTATGGTCGCCATGGCTCACAGAACCAAAAAGGAACCACCGGAACACTTTGGCCACACCGATGGCAGGTTGCCAGTGAGGCAACCCTTTTGGACGCTGCGCCTGTCACTTAGGATGACAGCTCGCAGCCCTGGAGGGCCTGTCCCCCTCGAGACCCCATACCATTATATACATACCATTACATACCATACCACTACATTACAGTACCTACATACATAATTGCTAGCACTCACGCAGGCAAGAAGCTGCACAGCGAAGAACAACTGCAAGTAGACAAGGGCCTCTTCACTCGCCACTGGAGCTAGAGGCAGAGCTGGAGGAGCCGGAGGAGCTGCCAGAGGAAAAAATAGATGTCCAGCTATTGATGAGGTCCAACAGCTCTAGAACTCCTCCCAGGTTGGTCGAGTTTGAAGAGAAGCCATCAACACAATGGTATCTACACCCCCTCAGTATCTGAAATGACTCCTCTTGGCATCGATGACCAGTAGCTGGTTGCTTTTGACCTTAATTATGATATTGTCAGGTGAGACTGATGAAGCAACTGGTCAGCCACAAATGCACCCAAGTACTGTATATATATATATAGACACAAATTGTTGTGCCAAGTATCTCGTTCTGCATTACATCCACCATGACGCAGTAGAGTATTGTGTCAGAAACAACATCAAATACCATCATGGCTGGGAAGGCAGCCTAAGCAAACGATGCACGATATGTGGATAGGATGGAAGGACTCTTGAGACTCCTGAGGTATCAAGGTGGGTTGCTAGGGGGGGTCACCCGTATAGTATTCGTTTTCGAGGCGACTCAGGCGAGCACCGTCAGTGCAATAATGCCACCGGCGTTTGACCAAAAGCCTTGATGGCCGACATAATGCGGTGAGTAAACGTCACCATACTGGCGAAGCCCAGGACAGGAGCCACTCACAATCCTCAGCTTGGTACGAAACGATTCACAGGGGAGACCTGATTCTGGACATCTATCAATTTCTTGGCTCAGCTTCGGCCAAGAGTTGGCGCTCAGTCGGTTGGGCCAAGGCTCATCCACATGACGAAGTAGCCAGCCCACCACACCAGTGTCAAGCCGACCAGCCTCAAGCGCCAGCTCGCGAGAATCTCTATCCAAAGGAAGATGTGCGATCGCAGAAAGCAAGAACTACAGAAACACAAACACACACACACACAAACAAACAAACAAACAAACAAAAAAGTTGAGTGTGCTGTATCCACGTGTGCGCCAAGTCCTTCCAAGACTCTGAAAAATGAAAGTTGTGCCATTGAGCGAGCTTGCCTTGGGTGTCCTATTCTCCGCTGCCTGCTATCATGTGCGTGCTTTGTTTAGACTGCTAGGCTTTCAAGCAGGATCTGAATCAAATGTCATCTTCTATGTTCAGTGTCTTGTTCTCGATGTTCGGCCAAGTGCAAGCCAAGCTACAGTACCTTTTTGGCGCTCGCAAACTTCGCTGGCTTCAAAGGCAGCATGGTCCAGGTTCATCGCAGAGACTGCAACCTGCGACTATCTTGGCTTTGCAAAGCTACTCATTCCTTGGGCATCCATACATATATTATACATATATATATACAGTATATAATTGGTGAACTGCCTCGATGTAGGCATTCACCGAGAACTTCTCGAAATACTGTTCGTAGATGTCCACAAAGCATCCACAGCAGCAATTCAGAATGCTTCCAACCGGATTTCCCTCAAGCCTTGCCTCAGAGCGATGCAGCTTTCATCAACCAAATCAATCATTCCATCGCATTCCATCGCTGCTCTAATCTGGCCCAAGAGCCACAGCCGTTAAGCTACCCAAGACAGCACGAAATGGCCGGATTGCACCTCGGAGCGGTGCGAAAATGACCACAGTGAAACGAACTCTGGTGGCCCAACTTCCCCCCAACGGGGGGGGATCGTGCTGCGGTACTCTCAGACGGCTGAAACACCTCAAATGCCTCAAATGGTCAAGAACTGAATGATGATCTCTAGCTCTATCTCCAGCCGTGCACATCAAGTGTCATGGGGTATCAAGAGCTGCTGCCCGGACCTTCAGAGCTCACTTCAAACTACCAGTATATACCTAGAGGCCCATGCAATCCAAGACTCCAATGAAAATAGAGGCCTTGATCATCGTCCCAAAATGATAACGGAAAAGAACCTGCAGCGACCACAGAAGCTTGTTTTGTCTGTGCCTCGACTGGCTACCTCTGCCCTACACAAACATATTTACGAGTCCATGCATACTAGTGTATATGCCGATACCTTTTAGGCCACTGGATCAATCAAAAAAAAAAAAACTGTTTTCCTCCGGCTGATTGGGGAGAGCCGGGAGAGCCATTCTCTCACTGCTTTGCTACTGCTACAGCGATTCAAACTTCTTTTCAGGGGGGCATTGATGTTACAGTAGTTGCATTTTCTACGCAGGAGGCGTTTGGTTCTGGCACGTGCCTGCGTGCAGACCGTGGGGATCCTGGCAAATGCTGGTTATATATGTTAACCAGCTTGGCCAAGGGAGCCCTTGCCAGTTCCCAGGCTGGCCAGGCGACTATCTAGCGACAAGCGGCAGTTGGCCCTAGGCCCTAGACCTGCCTTTCAAAACTGTTACAGCGCCCCACATCTAGAAGGTTCGACGGCTCTCTCAACAATCTTCTTGGCAAACATGGCCGTGCCGGGCGATGCCATCCATGGCGGCTGAGGCTGCTGCAGCGGTGCCTGTGCCAGGAGAAGCAACTTGGCAGCCCACAGTCATGGCGGCGTGCTTACCACAGGAGAGACTGGGCAAGGGATGGAGGAAGAGATGGGCTCTACTACAACCAATCCCCCAACCTAGTCATGGAGAAGGAGGGTCGACCCCATCAAAAGCACCTGCGTCACTTTCTCGCACTCCGGAAACCACAAGCCACATGACAGAAGGCATGACACACCGCGCAATGTCACAGGGCCACACACCTTTGAACATGCTGCTACCACAAAAGACGAAGAAGGAGGTGAGGAGGATGGAGAATCATCTGCCCCGACTTCAGAGATAGGGTTCACGCTGAGGCAAAAGTTGAAGCGGGAATTCCTGGAAGCTTTTGTGTTGGTCGACAAGGCCAATGGAAAAGAACTAGAGCCTTGGTTCTTCAGTCCAGAAGAAAAGGCTGCTTTTGACAAGGCAGACCGGAACGAGTGCGAATCGGTGTGCAACAAGGTCACACGCCGCCTCACGGCAGAGAGAGGAGGCCAAAAGAGTGCGACTCTATTCAATATTCAAAGGCACCTCTTTCTCAGCCAAAAATTCAGGATCTTATTGCCACCGTGATCCCCATCTAGATCATCTAGGGGAATAACGTTTGATCGGATGCACCTACCACCGTGTGGGTAGGAGTCCCAACTGTCCAAGACGGTTGATGCCACCACAGCTTCTGGAGTGGGAAAGAGATTGAAAGAGAAGCGATTGTCGCCACCCAACATGAAGGGCAACAACTTGACAAGCGGTGAGTTGATGCAAGTTGTGAAGAGTTTTTGTGGGTTGTCCGAAGCACCAATCACTCTGGTGCTCAAGGGCTGCAGAGTTGCTTCTGCAAACGGACATAGAAGAGCTCCGTAATTGCCAAAGCGAACGAAGAAAGGAGTGACAGCCATTTTGGGCTGCTGGTGGGAGACAAGGGAGGTCTCAAAAAGCTCCAGAAATCCTTGGACATCAGAAGTTCGCCATCAACAATGGAAGAATTAGAGAAGGAGTCAGAGACCTTCCTCGGAGCTTGCGCCATCTATATACAAGAATGGCATGTTCTAGGACGACAAAACGGAGTATGTCAACCTCATTGAGCATGCCCACGAAGACACACCAAATGAGTCACAGCTAGAACTCTCAGCTCACTGTCGTTTTGTGATGCAGATCCGTTGGGCAGCACATCATGTCCTACCAGAGTTTCCGTACCGAACCAACAAAGTTCTCAAGGCAATGAAGGACGCTGCAGCCCAAGGCAATGCCAAGGTCACCGCTCAGGCATTGAGTGGATGCTGATTGTCAGCTACTTTCGATGCTTCCTTGGGGACCTCCACAAGTGGTCGGGCACAGGGGAAATTCATGTCCTACCATCTTGCAGTTGCTACCAGAATTGGTTGGAGCAAAATTACACTTGGCATACGGCGTTCATATGTGTGATTCTTGTATGTTGCATTATCCTATACACTTAGAGTCGGCATTTTGTGAGCCATCGAGGTCTGGGGTGTCTAGGTATTGATCTGCATCCAAGGAATACCCTGAAAGTGCACCCAGAGACCCCGGACCCCATCGTGTTTCAGCTCACTCCACATTGAAGCCCAGCCACCCACCATACATGGCACTGCTTGCAACATTGGCGGAATCCGTCCTTTCCAGTCTTTTCGTGGACGCCCCCTTCTACATACCACTCCTGAGCTGGTGCTGTTGGGCCCAGGATGCAGGCTCAAAACGAACATGTCAACTTCGACTGCACCTGCTGATAAAAAGCAATGCTCTCAATCACATCTTGGCCAGAAGGCCAAAGAAAGCCAAAGAAACTTGTCGAGGCACCGCAGCCAGATAGGCTACTGCGAATTCCCAGCTTGCTGTGAAAAGGATCTGAATCCTCAAGCTTGCAAAGGCCAAAGAAGTTTTTGAACACCTCCCCAACAGCTTACCAAAAGGAAGCGATGCACCCGCACGACTGAGGGGAGTATCTGAATTTCGAGTTTCCAGGTGCGACCAACACATTCCACTTTTCTTCGATTCCTTTCTCAACTCATGCGGCCATGGAACCACACAAACATGGCCAGCCACAACACAAATAGCACCAGGTCATAGATGCAATCATCCTGTTTCTGAGCGGAACATCTAAAGGTAATGAGTCCGCGCTCGAGGAAGTCAACAAAAATGCCTGCAAGAAGCAAGCGAGGAATCATGCAAAATTCAGTGAGTGTGAAAGAAAACGTGCTCGCCAGCTGCCAGCCTGTGTGTGCAAGAATGATGAAACAGAGTATCCCAAAGCCTGATGCCACTCTGAACCTGCTCACAGTGGAAGGAAAGCTTCAGCAATGCTGTCTCGTTGCTTCTGCTGTTTAAATCAGCCCGGCAGCAGCAGCACCACGCAGGGCCCAAAGTGTAGCATCGGCGTTTGGTACACGCAAGTGCAAGACCTGAGATGTGTTTCCCAGACGCGCCTGACATCAGCCCAGGGAGACACACAAGAGAAGTCATGATAAAGCCCCAAAGCATGAACCAATTCCAAATTGCAACCCCGACACAACTTGATACATGCTGCAGCTTTGTCAAGTTCATGCATCCGGCTGGCAGCACAACACCCAATACACACGCCTTAGTGACACAAAACCCTCCGAAACAACAGCTGCGAAGGTTTTGTTGGAGTCGATGGGTTGGCGTGCTTGATCGCGCAATCAAATCTGCACGCTACTCACTCGTTCCTGCCCGCGCCGACGGTGCCGAGGCGTTGTGGGGTTCGAACAAGCCATAAGAAATCTGGAGGAATAGTCCTAAGCGTTAGCTTGGGGGGTCCATCTCCAGCTCCTTCAGCGCTGCGCTTTGCAATGCTTTTTGAAGATTTATTAAAGAGGGTGCGGCTTCAGACCAAACGTTGGCGATGCCGGCGATGCCGGCCGCGGTGGATAGCTTTATCGACATCGCGGGCGCACAATTATTGGCATCGTGGGTGTGTTCGTCCGTGTGTCCTGCCCGACCGAGACATAGACTGACAGACCGAGATGGACAGACTGAGACAAACACACCGATACAGGCAGACCGAGACAGACAGACCGAGTGAGCAATTGACATCGTGCGTGTATTCGCCGACTGAGACAGACAGACTGACAGACCGAGACAAACAGACCGAGGCAGAACCCTCTGTCAAAAGGCTGGTGATTAGATAGGGCCATAGCGAAACGCTTCTTCATGCTTGAGCCCGGTTAACATTTCCTCCCGGCTCTGAGAGCACAAGTTGCTATTCCCGGCTCCGCGAGCGCAGGTTGCTGCCGAGCCGGTAGGGTGCTAATGACTCCCATGTATGTCTGGATGTATGTTTGGATGTCGATGTCTGTATTTGTGTGTGTGTTTTCCCTTTACTCTGTGCGGGCGGCTTCGACCGCGAAGCGGTGTGAACAATGATCATCTAACTACGAAAGTGAGCTGTACTCACGAATTACCACGTTGGGCGGTACCCCATGCGCATGTAATTTAAGTCGCGAGATTCATGGGCTCACCCCTGAACGGAGTGGGCACCCGGCCAGGTCAAGATAGCTCCATGCCTTATCTTGAACTTCACACCTTGTTTTGCTGGCTGGTTGCAGAGCGGGGGATTACAACCAAGCAAATGCAAGAATTGTTGGAACACGGATGACTGGGTGGCACAACCCGCGTTCCAGCTTCAGTCAATTTGGCTGAGAGCTTGGTCTTCAGCTGGTTTCAATCAGAAATAGGCTACGGGCAAACAAAGATTTGCAATAACAGAACTGAAGAATGGAGGCTCCAACTACTGGGCGCGGTAATTCCTTCTAAAGCGTTTTGTGCAAGTGCCCAATCTGGAACACACTGAACAAGCTTTGCACTATCCCCAGGGGCGGCTCAAATGCAGCAACTAAGTTTGGATGCAGCCTGCTGCATGTTGTCAACCTGCGAGAAATCTAGAGAGGCCCACGCGCCTGAACACAGTTTCTCCTGAGCCCGTTGCAGAATGATTTCTTTGGCCATCCAACATGTTACTGTCTTTATTATCTCCGACCTGAACACGTATTTTGATGCCCTGGCCCACACCCTTACACACACCTCGCAGGATGGACAAGCCACCTTCCAAATCATGTTAGCAAGGTCCACAAACCCAAAACAATGATCTTCCAGCTTCCAAGCAATGTCTACGAGGCTTGACACGAAGAACCCACAAGCCCAAACCACAAGCTCAATTAGCTCAAAAAACGGAGCTATTCTGTGCGATCTAAGATTTTGCACAACTTATCTCGTCTGAAGTGCCACTTACCCTACACCTCAACATGTTTCTACTTCACTACCAGTTAGTAAGTGCAATGAAATTGAAGGGGCATGGTTCAACCATGGCTGCAGAAGAAAATATGAGATATATATATATATATAGATAGATAGATCAACTTAGGCCGCGGCCGACTACTACGAGGGCGACACATGGCAACAAAGCTCCCTGGTGCGGGTAGGGATGCAACCAAGTCCAGAACTGAAACAGTGCCCACCTGGCCATGCTTGTACCACAAGTAGCCCGCCCATACCCATGGAACCTTGACTCCCAAGCAGAGTAGGGCAATCAGATCATGGTCAAATGTTGAAACAGGCCAACGCCGTGTGCAAAGCAGGGAGCAAGCACAATCAGTCTGATTCCAATTTTGGACAATGTTGGTGCATAGTCCTGACCGGCATCATTCAAAAACAAATCAGGCACGCGGCATGAACACAAACACAAGCTGACCTTGAGGAGTGCCACATAACCTTGGGACCAGTTGTGCAGTGATCAATTTGCTGGCTCGCCCAGGTCAACAAATGGAACCGTCTGCCACATGAGAGCGGCCAATGACACCCCGAGAGCGGCCAAGCGGCCCAATGACAATAACAACCCAGTCGCGGCAGCCTCACGTCAAGCCGAAAAGCATCGTTCTGCAAAAACAAGGAGCGAGGCACTGAGAACTTGGGAAGTCTGTTGGATGCCGGGCTGCTATCAGAAAAGGCACCATGAGGCGCCACATCATCAGAATCCCATAGCCGATGCTGAACTTGCCCCATACCTCAGCACGGTGGGAAGGAGGCTAGCTTTGGAAGTCATATCGTCACATGCAATAAAGTAGACTTGTTCTTCGAGACTTGCCTTTCGTCTTTCTTCATCGAGCACTGCCCAGGTACTTTGTTAGCATACTCGAGCACCGAGACATAAAGCGCATTGTTCTCAGGCCTTTCAGGGCAAAGGCCGGCGAGGCCTGTCCAAACGAGGAATCCTTTCGTCAATCCGGGAACCGTGCCTGCACCACCCTAGCAGATATGGCACCGCCGTTCTGGTCACATAGCTAGGCATCTTGGCATGCGAAAGCAAGCAGTGAGGTCCACAAACACTCGATCTTCCTGCATGTGTGGTGCCTCCACATCAGACTGCGACGCGTTAGTCCAACCTTGGTGATATGATATTCCATACCATTTGCAAAGGGGTCTGTGCCATTTGGCTACACAAACTCTTGTAGCCAAAAAAGTATTGCTTTCAAGTCCAAATTCTGTTGCCTTTTACTTTGACATCTCTCATCAAGCTGGTCCACCCTTGTCCGTCACACTCAAACCATGGTTCCTGGGGGTGTCACAGGAATTGCTTGTTGAGCTGTTGAGCGGGCAAGATTTCAAGCCTCGGCACATCTCAGCAACGTTGGACAGGATGATTTTTCTATCTAAACTCTGGAAGCTGTGTGGATTTGGGACATTGAGCTAACCAATCAACCATGCACTCAAACTAAGATAGCCAACACCACCAAAACTTATCGCAACGCATGTTCTGCAAGATAATTGGCCTAACCAAACTTAACTGTAATCAAGGCAAGCTTCAAATAACGTCCGTGAAGTTCAGTTCGCCTGAATCCTGCTTGCAAATAAACGCCTCGGCAACCGGGTGTTGGTGATGCAGGCATGTGGCTCACCTTTTTCACTGAGGGAGGGACAAATGGTTTGTCCCACACCTGCCCAACTCCACACGTATGGTTCAAGGAGTCGTGCATTGGTATCAGGAAAGCCATGTGCTCCGCTTGGTGTGGCATCCTTCGGCGCAGAATCACGGCCATTCTTGGATTTCACAATCGAAATGTCGCACTGTCGTGTGTTTCTGCGGCAGGTGGATGTCTCCTGCTGCGAGAACGCAGAACATAAAAATGGTAAGTTTTTAATAGTTAATTCTTAGTTGAAGCCATCCAGCGTGCCAAAAGCAATAAAGAACAGGTCATTGCTACACGGTCAAGCTCGCAGGCGTGCGCTACAAGTGGGGCATTAATTGAGTGTACAATCCAGGTGGGACGTATGGGAACGCCCAGGCAAACCTTTCAACAGGTAAATGATAGAAGAAGTATGCCCAATCCCTGGATGCACGGTCTATGTTAATGACCACTCGGGGCGAGTCGGAAGGACGAGAACCCGTGGTGGACAATGAGGGTTGCCGAACGAACGAAGTGGCGTGCAACGAACGAACGAGCGAAGCGAGTGCAGAGCGAACGCGAATGTGCGGTCGGACACTGCCCAACCAACACGGCACCCTAAGAAAACGCACGCGGATGCGATTGTTTTCTTGGGCCAAGAGCGACGGTTGAAGCATGTGTTTTACATGCCTTAGTGAACCGTAGCTAAATAGATAGACATGTACAAGTAGTGGATAGCTGTTACATAGTAGGGGTTCACAGAAAATGACTCCCCCCTCCCCGTTTTGGGGCAGCATTCCTTTGTACATGCATGAATTACCGCGCCGGGTGGCAGCGGTTTCGACGACCTACGAAGGCTTCGAACTGTTCGGAAGGCTCCTATCTGTCTTAGATGGGACTAAGCACTTTAAATCTGTACGGATGCCAAGCAAGCATAGCGCTTTGAACCACTTTTGTGGTGGCAACGCTTTGGTGAAAATGTCTGCAGCTTGTTCATTTGTATCGATGTACTTAATCTCGACAGATGGGTCGTCGATGCATTCCTTTAATGAACTGAGGTTTATCTTGTGGGTTCGGCTGATGTGTCGGAGCTTTGGGGAAAAGCCCTTTCTTACTACCAGAATCGTGGCTTGATTGTCTTCTTGTATGACGAGGTTAACGGCTCGTCCAAGAAGTTTATCCCATAGTTGCAACGAAGGGAGACCTTCTTGATACAACGAATAGGCCAAGCTTACTACTTCCGATTCTGTAGTGGACCTTGACGTGGAGGTCTGGCGCTTTGACACCCATGCTAGTGGATAATGGGTGTTAGGGCCCTTGAGTACTAAATACCCACCGGAGGTGGACTTCACGTCATGTTGGTCGCCACCAAAATCGGCATCCACGAACAGCTCTAGCCACAGCTCACTAGGATCATCACCGCAGACGGCGGTTAACCTATAGTCTAGCGAGTGCTGAATGTACTGTATTAGCCGTAGCAACTTTTTGTCGTGCACACGGGTCCACTTTTGTACTTTAGTGGCTAGATCGTTGATCGGTTTAAGGATGTCGGGTCGTGCTAACCTGGCAAGCCATAGGGCTTTCATCAGGATAGAACACGCTTTTGGTGCGAGCTCTCCGGGCGACTCCTCATCAGCTGTGGTGAATGTGCCGTCTGCGAGAAATGGCGTCTGGGCTGACTTTATCTTTTCAACACCGGCCACCGACTTGTAGAGGTCGATGGTTTGCTGCGCGTAATCCTTCATGTCAAAGATTAGGGCGTCAGCACTACCGCGCAAAGCAGCGGTTTCGGTGTTTCCTGAATCTGGGACTACCGCGTAGATGTGGTTCCTTCCTAGCATTCTGTAAATAGGCTCGGGTGGTTCAACGTTAACAACATTCGTGAGTTCTGACCAAAACTTTTGGTGGTGTTCCCGTGGGCCTGCCAAAGTGAGGTCGTCAACGTATGTAGATAACATTAAACGAGGACCAGAAAACCAGAAGTTACCGGGGAACTCTGGGATTTCTTCGCCACCCATTTTCTTAAGAATGCCCTTCAAATGCTGTTCCCACATCCCTCCAGCGTCGGGATGTCCGTACAGCGCTTTGACAAGAAGGACCACTGGTTGAACAAATTTGTTCTTCCACCATGCGGGTCGAAGTTCAGGTGGTAATTCTATCCAAGTTTTATACTTGGATTTTAGAGTTGCTTGAACATACGCTTTCACCGCATCCGCGGCGGTGCACAGGTTACCAGGTAGTGACCCGTACGCGAGGCAAGCGTTCAGCCCTTGGACCGAAGTCGGATTTGCACCTAATTCTTCATAGACGGCTGCTGCGCCATGTTCGTCCTTTGCGCAGTCACCTCTGTAGACAATTCTACCTTTCTTTTTCTGCAACTCCTTTGCCAACTCGTAAAATTTAATGGATGCTATGGTCATTAGTTTACCGAAATGGACGGAGACGCCGGAAGCCTTAGCTTCAGCACGGACGTGCTCTTTCTCCCTAACGGATTCATACTCCCAAGTACCTTCGTTAACCAAATCGGCTGCCTCGTCCTTAACCTTTTGCAAGGCTTCAGGATCGCTGAGCATCTCGGTACGGCTTAGGAGCTTGGTGACCAAAGCTGCTACCTGATCTTTACCATCCTCGGTCTTTGGGATCTGGTAGGCCTCGTGCATGAGAGCACTGATATCCATTAAACATTCAACCATCTGGTCGACAGTGTCATCTGTCTCAACTGCGATGGCCATAGCGTTGATTCCCGACAAGGCTGACACGTGTTTCAGCGTCTGTTCTTTGTCCCGGTGCTCATGTTCATGGGTACATGAAAAACATGGCATGGCTGGGGCATTATGGGAGAAAGACACGCTAGGGTAAAGGGCCTTTGCAATTTGGACAGTCATCTGCCTTGGGTAAAATGCAGTACGAGCTGTCTGCGACCCGACCGCTTGGTCATGTTCGTGGGGTTTATGGGTGCATTGGAACTGCGAGAACATGTCCACGAGGATGTCTCTTTCCATCATGGCGTTATGGGGCCATCTGTTTGGCAAGGACGTTTCCGGAATCAGCCCTACTTCATGTGCAGCCTGTTCCAACTCCCCAGCCTCGTCCATCTTAACAAGGACACGAGTAGCTACCTCGTTAGCCTTTAAGCCTAGGAAATGACGGAAGTTCTTGGAGTGGGTACTGGCATCACGCTTACTCATGGGGTATGCTATTCTAGCACCCGAGTAGGTGTCTCGGACTACATGAAATGCTTTAACCCCACCTACACCTTTGCCGACGAAGTCCTCTCCTTTTGCCATTATGACATCATCGGTTGACAATTGTTCATATGGACCTTTTGGTGGGTCTATGAAGTCGTCGTCTTTGACATCTGGTTTGCGTGAGACTCTCTTAGAAGTTGACTTCGAGATCTGACAAACTGGACAAAAGGGATTCTTGGGATAGTGTGTTAGAATTTCTTGAGCATGGTAGGGTCATCCGCTATTCTTGCTTCATCACCATCATAGGCAAGCTCTAGTAGTGTCTTGTCGTCATCTGGATGAGGCGGAATGCCCCCCGCGAATGCCTTAGCGGTCTCTGACCCCACGGCACTGGACCTAGGAGAAGCATCCTCGATGGACTCGACTGGCTCGCTCACGCCATCTGCTGCGACGGATGGTGTGTACTCTTCGTCCGAAACAGGATCTGGTGTCGTCTCTGCGGGCGTCGCGTCGATGGCACCAAGTGGCTGGAGACGTTCCGGAGGAACGAACCGAATAGGCTTAACCTTTTCGTCATACTGTGGAACATACTCAACAACCCTAGATGCACAGATCCTATGTTTTCGGGGAATACGCAGTCTACACTTAGGGATTATGCTTGGTGGAATAAGATACGGAACCTGTTCACGGGGATCCCAAATGAACATGTAACCTTTATCCATCACCGTCTTGCCAATGGATTGGGCTGGCGGGCATTCTTTTAAGATGTAGACCTCTTCACCTTCGAGGAGTTCACTTCCCCCAAATGCGAGGGAGTCAGCACTCTGTTGAGCGCCGCCTCCTGTCGTGAAACTGACAGGGCTATTCGAAGGTGCGGCACAATCACGCATTTCTTGCGTCAGTGCCTGACGACCGAACAGGTGTCTCCCCGCAGCCGTATCCCAGAGCCATGAAACTTTCCCATCCTCAAAGGCGGGCATGGCATGGACCTGTGCAACCGCAGCAGTGGCCTTTGCGGGAGGCTTGCCTTTGGTAAATCGAAGAGACTTCGGGGGTGGCCCCTTGTATTTGTTGTTCGTGTCGTGTAGGAAGGGACAGCTCTTAGCACGGCATGAGTTAAAGGCGTAAAATGCGCAGGGCGTCTTGGCCTTTTGGGCCATGGTCATATCCGCCACCTTAACTACGGCTTCCGACCGAGGGGTGGTCGGAGCGCCTTTGGGTTTAGGTTTTGGGGGACCCTTTGGCGTGGCCTTACCTTTGCCGAGGGAGCTGCGGGCACCTCTGTCGTGGTGTCCTGCTTAGAAGCCTTTTCCTTCTTGGGTTTCTTTTCCTTTTTAGGCTTAGGTTCCTTTTTAGGCTTGGGCTCCTTCCCTTCCTTAGTCGCGGGATTCGCGGTTACCAACTTGGGGTTGTATGTCGTGGCCAAATCCGCGGTTTGTGAATCACGGAGCTTCTTATCGAAGGCATGCCGATTGGCCTTGACACGTTCCAGCTCGATGAACAGGTCGACTTTTTCCCATAACCGTGCCATAACCATTTGGTGGTTCTACGGTGGCTACCAGCTGGGGCCTCACGGGACTTGGTTATCTTGTTGGCTAGAGGTGTAAACTGCTCGAGTTCATCAAGGAGATGATTAAACAATGTGGTTTCCCGGGTAGGTCATCAACAGGGATGGCCGCCATTATGTACCGGTACTTTTCCTCTTCCACCTTGTTGCCTTTAAGTCTTAGCGTGAGAAGGTTACGTTCACCTAACATTCCAATACGATCTTTCTCGAGTTGGAAGTGCCTGAAAATGCTAGCGAGCATGACTCTACCGCATGGCATACCTTTACCGGCAAGTCGGGATTCCTCAACCATCCGTTGAAAGATGATACCAAAACGTCCAGTTTTGCAAACTTTTAACATCTTGGTGGCTATTTCCCGGTCTGTCCGTGGGAAGC